TTCTTATTTCCTTTCCATATAACCCAACTGGTTAAGCGGCATAGATGCTATGTGATCATGCTCCATTTCTGTATTTTGATAAGTCACAATCCGAAAAATGCCAGTTGCTAACTTGCCGAAGCGTTAAAATAGGGGTATGAAAAAACAGTGAAGAAATGAGACCTCCAATTTTGAGAACCAAAAAACAGTTCCTAGCTTTGGCTGGTCATGGTAAAAATTTGATGAAGAAAACTTTTAAACTTTGTTAATTAGAAATTGATGGTAGCCATTCCACCAACGTTTCCTATACATACCTCTCAACGAGGCTTTCATTCTTCTTACAAATCAAATTCAAAACAGTCTGGATAAACTCTTGCCCGTTCATGAAATCAAAAGCAAAAAAGATACAATATCCTGGATTACAAAAAAAATCAAACGTGGATATACGAAAAAACACAAATTATAAAAAAAGTCTACAAAACTCTACAGAAGCCCCGAAACACTTATATCAAAGACAACATAACAAGATTAATTCAATGGTACAAGACTCGCTTAGTAAATACTATGAGACACAAAAAGAAACAAGAAAATTTTTCGAGTCAGTCAACAGTGTAAAGCCAACAGTGAGAAAAGACGAATAAGAACAATGCCACATGAATAATATATCATTTGATTCTTTTTTTGTTGAAATCGGATCAAATCTAGCTGAATCTCTAAACACGGAGCGCAATTTTCAAAATGTAAGAACAGTAAGGATTTCATGCTAATTTGACAAAATGGCAGAACAAGAAATTGGTAATTTGCAAAAAAAAACAGCCATGATTGCTATTGACTCTCAAATTTTTTCATAAGAATAATTATTCCGGCAATCCGTTCAATTTTGACAGTTTTATTAAATTGAATACTTAAAGAAGAGTCTTATCTGGAAAGTTTGAAATTTTCTATGTTTTTCCAATTCACAAAAGTGGAAAAAAGACTCAAGCACAAATTCCAGGCCAAAATTACTGCTACCAATTTTTGGAAAAGTCTGAGAAAAATAATGATACTGGAGGATTGTTAGATTCCTTTTACAAAAACGAAGTAATTTTGATTAAACAGAAAGGTTTTGCGTCAAAACGATTTGATGCAATTGTTGAATTTCACCAATCAATTGAAGTTTCTAATGGAATAAGAAACATAATTTCGCACTCTCAATATTTTATCGAAAACTTTTGATACTGTGAACCATAAAAACTTGCTTTGGAGATGCTCAGTTTACGGATTGAGAGGCAAAGATTTCCGTTTCTTAAATCATATCTCGACAACCGTTACTGTGTTGTCCAATTAAATCAAACAAAGAAAATTAAATTTGAAAAAGGATGGGGTTTGTGTAAGGGGAGGGGGTTCCTCAAGGGTTACTTATGGGTCCACTTTTTTCTTTATTACATCAATGATGTCCCCGAGATTCCCAAATTACCAACGTGGTTCTTTTGCAGATGATACCATTATACATGGCGAAGTTTCAGAGGACAACTATGATCTAGATTTGAACCACATAGAAATATGGATGGTAAATAAATTTATGATGAAGCAAGACAAAAACAAAAAAGTTGTTTTCAGCTTGAAGAAAAAAATTGATAAATTTTTGAGAGAATGCACTAAAAACAGAAATTATTGTTGCAGTTTTAGGAGTTCAAATTGATCAGAACCTAAAATTCTCTAAACATATCCGAAAAGTGGAAAATAGATGCGCAAAATTAATTTCGTTTCTCTACAAAACAAGAAACAAGTGATCGGCTAAACAATTCATGAGAGCTTATAAAAGCTACATACAAATTACGGAAGCAAACAAGATCTAGATTTGACAACATAGAAACATAGATGGCAAATAAAATTACAATGAATCAAGGCAAAACCAAAACAATTGCTTTCAGCTTTAAAACTTTAAAACTTTTGATAAGTTTCAGAGGGATTGCCCTAAAAACAGAAACTGATGTTACATATTTAGGAGTTCAATTTGATTTCAACCTAATTTTCACTGCACATATCCAAAACGTGAAAAATAGATGAGCAAAATTCATTTCGTTTCACTGCCAAACTAGAAACATTTTATCAGTTGAATATTTCATGATAGTTTTCAAAAGCTGCATAAAACCAATTTATCAACAGGGAATTTTGATTAATAGCTGTACCTAAAACTTCTAGATGAACTACAGAAACAACGAAATGTTTTATGAGAATTATCAATTGGAAAAGAAAACTCGATGAAGTAAGATCAACGACATGAAACAACAATGTTTGCTGAATCTATGAGCTACATCCATAAAAGCTCTTAAAATACTAACAAAACTTAATAGGAAAAATTATACAAGTAAAGATGTGAATATTGTCATAATATCAAAAGAAATAAGCATGCAAATTTTAGTGACACGCGGACCAGAACTTTGCAAACCCTATTTGCTATGAGTAAATTTTATTTTAGAAAATGAGTTAAGGAGTTAATAATAAGATGAATAAAATTTATTTTAAAAAATGAGTGAAGGAGTTAACAATAAGATTGTCAAACTAGACTATAAGGTTTTGTTAATATTGATGCCCAGCAACGAAATTGGACACTTTTGTTCATAAATAGAGAAACCTATATCTACATGATACTAATTTTTGTGCAAAAACTAGTTGTTGAAAACGGTTGAACTTTTTTTGATGAGTAATTAGTTTGTCTCAAAAAAAAAAAATTATTAGGTTTTTCTGATTTATACTACATCAAAAAAAGGTTTTATGCAAATTTTAAGGTTTCAATTGTTAAAAACAAAAACATGGATTCTCATTCTCCAAATTGCTCTCAAATAGCACTTGCAAACAGTCTTGCAGCCTTACGGTGACCATTTGAATTGGCGCTATGAAAATTGAGCAGTTATAATAAATAGTTTATGTAATGTGCCTGATTCCTAAACAAATACTTAATTATGATTGTTATTGTTATAAAAATTTATTATGATTGTTATAATTACCATTATGGTTCTAATATGATTTTGATTATTACTTTTTTTAAATTATTATTAGAGCAAATTGCTAATACCCTTAATTTGATCTTTCTATGATCTAAATTTTGTCGGTTAATATTACAGAATTTAGTTACATTCTTCTAGACTCTCAAAAAACGGCATTCTGAAAGTTCTGAAAACCAGCGACAAAACATCAAAACACCTCTGGAATCCAGAAAACTACTTTACACTTAGTTTCAACAAACAATTTAGTTTGTCACTCGATTCCTGAAGAAAATTTCTGTAATCATAACTTGTGTCTGGATTTCAGCTACAAACCTGCTAGCACATGTAAAAGATGGTCCTTGGAATCAAGATAAGATGATTCTTTGGGGTTGTCCAGAGCAGCTGATGGATGCCCACGAGAAACCCGAAAATTTAGGAAAAATCCGAAATCTTACAACTTGCTTATGAGAAATTTTCCTATCTTAGAACAATCTTGTAACAAGTTTCATTATCTTAAAACTGTCTTCAGAGAAAACTTCCCTATCTTGTAACATTCTTAGAGCCTAATTCTGTAAGAAGTTGTAAGATTCTTGTAAGAAAAATTCTAAGACTTTTTGTCAACCTGGAAAAGTGTGTGCGCAGTTATAAAACAGATTTTGGCTTCCTAATCAAAAGAATACCAGGTGATTACTGTAACAAAATCTTGACAAATTTAGTGCCAGTTTTTTGTTCCAAATTTTCTCAAACACAAAAACCATCAAAACATTTGGTTTTTTCTGTGTCTGAATGACAAAAAAAAATTCAAAATTTGAATGTTTTGAAGAATAATCTCGATTCCTGAAGAAAATTTCTGTAATCAACACTTGTGTCTGGATTTCAGCTACAGACCCGCTAGCACATGTAAAAGATGGGTCCTTGGAATCAAGATAAAATAATTCTTTGGGGTTGTCCAGAGCAGCTGTTGTAAGCCCACGAGAAACCCGAAAAAGTAGGAAAAATCCGAAATCTTACAACTTTCTTATAAAAAACTTTCCTATCTTAGAACAATCTTGTAACAAATTTCATTATCTTAAAACTGTCTTCAGAGAAAACTTCCCTATCTTGTAACATTCTTAGAGCCTAATTCTGTGAGAAGTTGTAAGATTCTTGTAAGAAAAATTCTAAGACTTTTTGTCAACCTGGAAAAGTGTGTGCGCAGTTATAAAACAGATTTTGGCTTCCTAATCAAAAGAATACCAGGTGATTACCGTAACAAAATCTTGACAGATTTGTTGCCAGTTTTTTGTTCCAAATTTTCTCAAACACAAAAACCATCAAAACATTTGGTTTTTTCTGTGTCTGAATGACAAAAAAAAATTCAAAATTTGAATGTTTTGAAGGATAATCTCATTCCTTTAACAAAAAGAACCTTAATAATAGTATGTTCTGTAATTTTTGCTAAAATATGAAATAAAAGAGAACACTTCAGTTTGTTTCCGATCACTTTAGTTCAACTTGAGCTTTCCTGTTGAGTCCAAATAGCGAGCGCATGGTACTTTTTCAGCACAAAGTTGCTTCCAATGAGAGCTGCCAGTGAAAACATTTGAACTTGATGTCACTCAAGGGAACTTTTTGATTTAAAAAAAAAACCTAAAAACTGTTCAAATCCTGTTCAAGCACATCTCTCGACTGGCCAAGAGTGGTACAAAAAGGCAAACAAAAAAGTGTAGAGAAACAAGTGCGCCGAGATCCAGCTAATGGCGCCTAATTTTTAGTCCCAAATTTTTAGTCTATCTCTGTCTAGGATAACATGTCTCTGAAAAATACATGTCACGTGTTCAGCCTCTGGCGAGGGTTAGGTAAGGTCAAACAAAGATTTGAATTCCAATTTAATCGTAGAATAAACTGCGGCTAAACTTTCATGATCTCAAGGCGTCGTTTCGACTTAATTGTTTTGTGTGCTGTTATATAGATTCTGAATACCATCAACTGATCCTTAAAAGTACCAGTTTAGCATTGAGTTAAATCTAAAATTAGTTTAAAGAGCAAAAGTAGATACTAACTGGGACTACAAGTTAAAGTAACAATACTATCGCACGGCGAAACACAATTCTGACGGTCTAATTGTTTGATGAACTTCATAAAATATTGAATCAAAGTCCAAGCATAAAAGAGAAATCATTGTTTCTTCAAAGCTTAAAATGCCATCAAACTAAAATCATTACAAAGCGATTTTAATAAACTCTCTTACGAATAAAATGATTCACTCAGGTATGGACAACATGACGTCCATGAACGGATCTATGGACATGATGATGCAGGTATGATTTCTTTAACCATTGTCGAGATACGAAACCATTTTTTTACCCCATCTGAAAGTCAATCTTAAAATCGGAATGGTGACATCCTAGGCAGGTCTTTTCACGATACTAAGATAAATGTAATAGAAATAATGTTAGAAATCGTCCCAACCAAACTAGTTTTTTTCTACCCCATCAGAAAATCAGTTCAAAGTTTGGAACGGTTTCGAGTGGCTGGTGATAATACGAGAAGTCCCTACGAGAGAATCGTCATAACTCTTTGACAATAAATGATCCCAAATTTTTCCTGTTCCCCATGATACTATTGAAAAAATGTAATTAAGTTTGTCTTAGAATGAATAGCTTGCATTTGCACCATATCATAGCGCTTACAGGGCGTTAGCGAATACGTTGCAGTGTTTCCAGTGAGAACGTCGAAGTCGAATTATAAAAAAAATAATGGTTTATCACGGGATTTCCTTCCTTCAAAGCTTATCCGCTCAAGAAATGGGGGAAAATTTTTAGCAACAAAACGGATTTCATCTAATTTAAAAACAAAAACTTGTCATATTCAGAGTTTCAAACTCGTCTTGAGTTCAAATTTGTTCTAAAAAATCAATCGTGAGAATAAAACAACTGGTAGTAAGTTTTTATTTTACTTTTCAAAAAATGAATGAAAGTTTTGTTTTAAAATTGTTTATGTAGATTTCGAAGCCAGTTTTTGTTATATTTAACGGTCTTTCGTCCATTGAATTCCTTGCAAACTTTAAACGGTTCGTTGACATTGAGCGAAAGCTTTGAAAATGGAAAATTATTTTCAACAGTCACTTCAAAACAATGGTGACAGATACAATCAATTTTCTAAATTTATGTCAAAAAACTTTTCCACAATTTTCAATCCTAATAAATTTTAGAAGATTATTTTTCACTGAATTTAAAAAAAATGTTTTAAAAAAATGCAAAAAATCTGAAAATCAAACTGACTGTTTATTAATTGTCCTTCTTTTTCGAAAAACGATCAAAAAGGGTCTGAAATTTTCATTTGAGTAGATGACGTTCTATGCCAGCAGTGACGTCACAATTCTGTGGGACAAATGGGAAACCAAAGAGACATGGCGTGAGTTATAATTTCTTATAACTGGCTGTTGTTGTAAGCTGATCAGTGTCCTTTTTTGCGAGTTTTACTGTTTTGGGTCTACGTGAAATTTTTGAGATCAAAGTATTAATAAACTCATTAATTCAAACTGGGGGCTCATTGCAACTTTTTTAACGCAAAAAATGAAAAAAGAAAAAATCATTTTGCGAGATGATTTCTCTGTATTCTTGGATTTAAACTAACACAACCAGGTTAACTTTGCAAGATGGTTTGAATACTGCAAAACGGATAAAATGGATAAAAGTATAAACAAATGAACTTCATAAGCAAAAAAATTCTTTCTTTTCTCAGAAAGATTGTAAAGATAATTGTGTTTTTTCAAGATGAGATTTCTTCGATAAAAAATAATTGTGTAAATTATAGGGAAATAAATGATTCCTTCCTGAAAACAATGTATTATTACTTCTCATAATTTCAGATCAATTACCAGTCTTTCATTTTTAATTTATCCTCTTTTTACCTGCAGAACTAGCCCTCTCCTGCATCTGTTGGTTTCTGCTGGCTGTGATTTATGAGGGAGTGAAAGCACTTCGTAACTTCGTCTGCCAGATGAACTCTATGAATTCATCAACAAGTGTGAACAGCTCTAGACCCCTCATGGAAATGAGTGCCGACTGCAAGAAGTCACTTGTGAACCCAAACAAATCTGCACCTCCGTATGTAGCAATGTTAATTTGAAAGCTTCGAATCAAAAACTTCCCAAAAATTATCAGTCATCTTAATTACAAGACATAATAAGGTAATATTTACTCTTACATTATTGTACCTAGAAGCAAAAGAGTTCGAGAAAAAAACTTCAGAGCATGTACTTGATTGTAAATCGCTCACTTGTCGAATTGATATTGTTTTTTTGCCAATTTATCCGGGCAAACTTTGATTAACTCTGACGTCACGTACCTAACTAAGATAAAAAATTAATCTAAACACACGGGAATTTCACCAGAAAAGACAAGATGTTTTGATATAATGTTTCCGGGCATTACGAGGCCAAACTATGCATTGAGTAGGCGCAAACTTTGGTGTCTGTAGATCACTGTAGTCCAGAGACAAGTCTTTAAGCTTTCCATGGATTCCGCGCTCGATTACGTGTAGCGTATATATTGTCATTACATTAGTTTTTTCGCGGATTTTGCAACGAGAAAATACTCCTAGTTTATCCGGCTTTTGCAAACTGTAAGCGGCTTCCGGAAATGTATGCGGAATCCATGAATTCCGATGATTCCGCTCTAAGTTTGCCGATTTTGCTTTCAATTTCTGACTGCTGCCTACAGTTTGCGAATTTCACTTACAGTTGCATTATACCCATAATTATAATGGTTACGCTTGAAAGAGTTTTTAATTTGATGTCTTTCTTAATGCATATACGAACATTTTGAGGTAACCTGAAATCAAGTGGAAAAACCCAACTTACGCCCATAGTTCCTTCCTTCTCCGTGCTTGATTGAAACAGAAAACTAAACGGTTTCCTTTTTTATAACTAGTTTTTACTTTCATACTAACTTTTTTTCAAAATCCGTTTTTGAAATACTTAGTGAAGTCAGAAAAAGACATGAAGCCTCACAAAAAAGGTTGATGTTTTTTAAGCAAAATATTCTCCTCTGAGCACTTGATGCAGACTGTGCTGCACCTGATCCAGATGAGTCTGGGATACCTGCTTATGCTGGTGGTGATGACCTTTAACGTCTGGCTCTTCGTTGCCGTCATCTTCGGATACACAGTCGGCTTCTTCCTCTTCGGCTGGTGGTGTGCCTCGGATCCGACTAAACACGAACACTGCGGATGATAGTCACGAGCAGAATAAACTCATATATATTAAAGACAGAAAAAGCATGTATGATTTAAAGAATGATTAATGAAAGATTTGATTGAGATAGTTAGACAATTTATACTCAAACACAACTCAAATAAAAATGTTTCTATTTGAAAATTTAAAAAAACGAGTTTTTTAATTGTAACATGAGAGTTAACTTCGGGTTTTTATTGCAATATACTTTTTTGTGCCAATTCGAATCCTGGATACCCTATATAGTACCCTGACATCCAATTTGAATACCTGCTGATATTTGAAATCTAAAATTGAGACGTAAATGCTTCCTCGTATTGACACTTGAAGCCCATTACGACGCCACACTCGTTGAACTTTAAACTGGTTAGAATTTCACAGGCTTTTTCCATTTTTCCCACAAAGCTTGAACCGGATTCCTTAAGAAAGTAAGAAAATGGAACTAGAGGCCAAAGTTTTAAGGCGTTTTGTTCATGAAGTAAGCAGTTTTGTTGCTGATATGCATCATAACAAAACAATTTTTTCAGAATTTTGAGTAGCGACAGAATTCCTTAATGCATGTAAAAGATCCGTCTTTGGTATTCTTCCCATAAAGCAAGTTTTCTCATTCAGATCTGAAGTAATTTTTTTAATATCTAAATTTCAGATCTGAAATGGGTTGTGAAATGTTTAAATAACGCTTAAAGCTTGGATATTTTAAGGATTGGCTATTTCAGATCTTCGTTTTTATTGGTTATTTCAGATCTGAAAAAATCTATTTCAGATCTAATCTCAGATCTAAAATTTTGTTTTTCTTGGTTATTTCAGATCTGTGAAAAATCAATGACTTAAGAATCAATACTACCAGGTACGCAGCGAAGCCTCGAATGGGCGACTGCCAAAATATGTTTCAACAAGTATGAGATCAACATTGGAAACGCATAAATAGCGCATGAAAATCAAAATTTTGATTTGTTTCTAACAGTTTTTAATTACATTTATCTCAGTTGAACAAGAAATCTAGTTCGAAAAAAAAACAGTTTGTGAAATTATTCTGAAATTTTTTACCGCTAGTTAATCTAAACATAATTGTGTCTGGCAAAAACATCAAAAAATTAAAAAAACTCATTTGTGTGCTCAAAATGCATAAATTAGATCTGAAATTTTATTTTTCAAGGTTATTTCAGATCTGAAAATTTCTGGTTCACATTAAAATTTCAGATCTGAAATGTTCAATTTTTTTAATCAGATATGAAACAAAAAGTTTTGGATTGGAGAATCAACTAATGTAATAAATGGAGAATTTCAGATCTTGCACAGGAAATCACCTGGGTACGGGCTGAATTGTAGCTAAATCATTGAATTGGAGTTGAAAGACGACTTCTAAAGGCGTTTTATTATCAAGTATAATTATTTGAGTCTGGATTTCATAAAAGCATTCATGTTGTCAACTTCGGGTCGGCAAAAATGTAGCTGATGTTTAGCTAAAAAGAATTCTTTACGCATTAAAAATATGTGTGTGTGTGTGTGTTTGTGTAATCTCGACCGACTCCAGCGAGTAGAATTTTGCGCCTAGTTAAAAAACTTAATTTGACGTCGTTTTGACAATTTCAAAAAGTGAGAAAACTCTCGAATGTGGAACGAAGTCTGAAGTGTACATTAAACTTATGCATTGAAATTACTTTCTGATGATTTTCTTCCTTTTTTTTCTCATTATACTGTTTTTTTCTCAGTCTTAGCTAGTCTGGCGGCGCCCCTGATTACTAAAACGCTTTATGAGCACAAGGTGAACAAATCACAAGGTGAGCAGGTTCAAGTGAGTATTAGATTGAAAAAAGCACAAAAAAAGTTGAATTTATTAACGCAGCAAACATAATATCTCCAGTTTACCCGCGTTGTAATAAAATGCTTAGAATACAAATATCACTCATGGAAAAACGCTTATCATACAATTTGATACTATTCTATACGTACAGAAATTGTAGTAACAAGCTAAAATAAGCATTTTTTCACAATTGAAAATTACATGACCAGCATTTTTCCATAAATCAAAAATAATTTTTTTGCTTAATAGTTTAACTTTATCCAAGCACAATTACCACGGTTTTTTCTAACATAATAAACCACATTGATAAAGAGAAAAAAATCTCTCATATACTTGGCAAAAGAGTATTAAAAGTATGAGATATTTTTTCTCACTAGTTCACTCAGAAGTATGAATGAAAACTTTAAATTTCTGTATATGGCTACAACGTTTAAAATTCAAATTCTAATCGTAAATCGTGGCCTTTTTTGGACATATTGAAGAATATCTCACAAAACACAAAATAACAGTGTTTAAAAAATTCTACGCCCGGACTACACTATAGACAAAACAAAACAAAGTTTTGCATGCAATTCTTTTTTCGAAAGATGCTTACTTGAGCATGAAATTGATTTTTCGACCAAAAGTTGAGAAAAAATTTTCGCCAAAATTTGAATTTTTAACTTTTTGCATCAATGTAAAAATGCTTGTCAAACAATTTCTATTTACGAAATTCATATGATAAACATTTTTTGAATACATTACTTGTATGAAATCATATAAAATGCGTTTTGTGTGTCTGGGTGTCAAGCCGGTTACTGAATCTATAGAGTTATTCTTAATGATTCTTTTTCTTAAGTTAGATATGCAAGTTGAGATAAAGGCTGAAAAATAGGTTTTCGAGGTTGTTTTTAAACTCAGAACGCAGAAAAAACGACCAAAAAAAACAATGGTTACATGCAAGATAAATTAGTTTGTATGATTGAATGATTTATTAATGAAAACATGTAGTTTTCGTAATACGAACCCAAATAAACTTTTTCATTGTAAATTAAATATTTAACGAGTTGTTAATTGTAGCTGCAGGGTTAATTTCGGGTTTTTATAGCCAGGGTTTTTTTGTGGTATTTTGAACACTCGCATAATTTTGTAAAAGTTTTGCGTTTTCTTTTGTTCTTTCCTTCTTTTTGATCGTTCCGACAAAATTTTAACATGTTTAAAGACTTGTCTCTGGAATCCAGGAAAATACAGACACAAAATTGTGCTCCTATCTAGTGCACAGTTTGGACTCGTAATTTTGTTTATAAAGTATAAAATTTTATCGCTGGATTGCAAAAAAAAAGAATTTTTTTTGTGCAGGCAAAAACTGTAACTGATTTCCCAATTTAAAAAAGCTTTTAACGTAGGTTCTCAGCTCTATTACAAAAACGAGATTGGCGTCACAATGCCGATTTCAAAAGGTGAAAAAGCCTCGAAGAAGTAACTAATTCAGGGGTCACAGAGTTCAATAGAAAGTCTTGGTAGGACCAGTGCGCCAAATTTTTCAGCCTGATTTTCAATTTTTCCCTGAATTGCAGTTAAATTCTGACTATCTAAAACATAAAATCACAGAGTTATGTGTTCTGATTATCCGCGCTCACGACTTTATTGACCTTCTCTCTCTAAACCGAACCCTGGTTTGAATTTTTCTATTTGCCGTTAATTGAAAAAAAAAATTACATGTCACTCATTCAGTTTGTTTCAGTGGGATTTTCAGTTAATTTTATGTTGTTTTTAGTTGAAATTTTATTGATTTCAAGTTAAAACTATCTATTTCAAACCTTTTTTTCATTTCATGACTTCTAATCAAGAAAGCGGCGCACATTTTTAAAGTTTTAACTTTTTGAAAAATTTTTTTATTTCGGAACATTCGGAACAATCGGAATTAATAATATGAACTATGAAAAATCACTCCTTTTAGATTCGAATAAATATTTCGAAAAAAAAATTTAATTTGATCGTTTAACTGCCTGTCGGAAAGTCGTTTGGAGACACGAATGTCAGTTTTGATTTGGTTCCAGTCATTTTCGACGGACAAAAAATCACTACACTATATTGGAAGCCAGATTTGTTATGAAGCAAATTTGCTATGAAAAACAAACTTCTTAAACAGAATCCGACTGTAAATTGGCTAAAAACTTCATTGAAAAAAAAACAAAACGTGAGTTAAAAGAAGTACAGCCTGGCATGTGTGGATCTAGAACTTTCATATGGGCGTCTTTCACAACAAGTTGCGTCTGATGTCAAAGTTATGTTCAAAGTGAATAACATCTTTGAATGCTCATGAGTTTTTGCGCGCTATAATTGAGAGTAATGTTTTCCAGCACATTAAATTTAGCTTGCACCCGCACAAATCATCGATGTTATGGTGCTAGCCAAAAAATTAATTTGATCGTGGAGCTGCCTGTTGAAAAGTCGTTTGGAGACACGAAGATCAGCGATGATTTTGTTCACGTCGTTTTCGACTGACAAAATTTCACTACACAATATTGATGCAAAATTTGTTATGAAGCAAGGTTGTTATGAAAAACAAATTTCTTAAAAAGAATCCGACTGTAAATTGGCTAAAAATTTCAATAAAAAACAAAACGTGAGTAAAAGTAAGTACTGCCTGGCAGAGGCGGATCTAGAATTTTCTTCAGAGCAATTTTCAAAAAAAATTGCGTCTGATGTAAAACCTTTTTTCAAAGTCGACAAAATCCTTTCGAAGGCTCATGATTTTTTGCGCGCTATAATTAAAGATAAAGTTTTCAAGCACATTAAGCTTAGTATGCACCACATCAATCATCGATGCATTGATGCTAGTCAAAAAAATAATTTCATTGTGGAGCTGTCGGTTGAAAAGTCGTTTGGAGACTTGAAGATCAGTGTTGATTTTGTTCAAGTCGTCTTCGACTTACAAAAAATCACTACACAATAATCGAAGCAAGATTTGTTATGAAGCAAAATTGTTTTGAACAACAAATTTCTTAAAAAGAATCCGACTGTGATTTGGCTAAGAAATTCAATAAAAAAAAACGTGAGTAAAAGTAAGTACTGCCTGGCAGGGGTGGATCTGGAGTTTTCTTGAGGCTAATTTTCAAAAAACAAATTGCGTCTGATGTCAAACCTATTTTCAAAGTCGACAAAATCCTTTCGAAGGCTCATGATTTTTTGCGCGCTATAAATGAAGGTAATTTTTCAAGCACATTAAGTTTAGTCTGCACCACATCAATCATCGATGCATTGATGCTAGTCAAAAAGTTAATTTCATTGTGGAGCTGCCTGTTAGAAAGTCGTTTGGAGACTT